AAAGACTACTTTATTTGCACGAACAAGGGGGGTGCCTGAGGCTCGGCAGGGCAGCCTGTGGCGCCTGGGAGACCCACCAGACCCAAGGCCGGGGTGCCCTCGCCCACCCGGGGGGGGCGGCTGGGTGTGGGTGCAGGTTTGTTACAGGAGACGCTCTGGAAGGTGCCTTCTCCCAGGCAGGCGATCCTACTGGAGGAACGCCCGCAGGAAGTCGTTGTAGGAGATCTTGGAGGACAGGGTCTTGTCGTAGTACTCCAGGATGTGGAAGAACTCCTCCTCAGAGAGGTTGATGCTGTACTGTCTCAGCACCTGGGCCACACAACGGCCGGTCAGGGCCCTGTTCAAGGGGCTGGGGGTGTGCCCACTGCTGCCCCTGCCCTGCAGGCCACCTGGGTTGAGCTGTGGATCCCACCTGGTCTCCCTCCCCGGCAGCAGGAAGCAGCCCTGTGGGTGGGAACCAGGAAGAGGTGGCCCTGACCTGGGGCATCCGGGGTGAGAAGGCAGAGCCAGGTGCAGGGCGGAGAGCCTGCGAGTGATCCTGAGTACCGTGGCCCCTCCTCAGGGACAGAACCCTGACTTTTTTCCAGACTGCAGTGCGTCATGCTCACAGGGACATTTCTCAACTACTCTTGCAACTAGGTATGCTCTGGTCAGGAAACCTGAGAGTATTCTGTGGAACTTTCAGGAAGCCTCCTCTGCAGGAAAGGGGTGTGGTCTTTCTCTCTGCTGCTGGAATATGGCCAATATGCTGGGGCTCCAGCAGCCCTCTGGGACCACGAGGTGTCCTTGAGGAAGGAGGCAGGTTTTGAGGATGGTGGAGTTCAGCCCTGAGGGCTGTCCGGCACGTGCCAGCAGTAGGCTTGCCCCCTCTGGAATTTGAGGTGTGAGAGGCTGCTGTTATGTCCCCACTTACACAGCCAGGAAGCCCCAAGTGGTCCCTGCTTGCAACAGAGACAGCCACGCCGGTAGCTGTGCTCCGCGCCCCGCTTGTTCCTAAGGGGAGACTGCGGAGTTGGCTAGCAGGGGCAGGCTGGTGGCACGGCAGCAAAGTGACAGAGGCCGACCACATGGGGAGGGGCTGAGTTTGTGCCTGGAGACCTCCCTGAGGACGCTGGGCATGCGTGCGTGAGATCCAGGCCTGGCCAAGGCTGGGGAGGCTTGCGGAGCTGAGACCCTGTCGGAGCTGCTGCCTCTCCCCGTCTCCCTGCTCTCACTTTGCTCACGGAAGAAAGAAACTTAAGTAAAAGGGACCTGGAGGTCCCGTGGGGTGGTCAGCTGGCCTGGCCCTAAGGCTGTGGGGATGAGAGCAGGTGGGTGTTCGAGAGGGCCCGAGCACACCCACCCGGTCTGCTCAGCTCACCCACCCACAGGGAGGGCGGGTCGCCAGTCCTCTTGCTGTCCTGGCTGCCATGCCCCAAGTCCCCGGATGATGGAGCCTTGCCCTGCCTTCTTCCCCGTTTGCTTGGAGGCAGGCCATCCCTGGCTGAGATTACACTGACCTGACATCCAGGTCGGGGACTGGGAAGCTGTTGCGGCATGGGCTGGGAGGGGGCACCAGGGCAGGTGACTTGGAGGTTTTCCTGCCCAGGGACGTGTGTAGCCCTACCATGCACCACAGGGCTGCAGCGTGACGTGCAGGCTCCTTGGGAGGTGGATGGTGGGTCAAAGCCTCTCCAAGCATCTGTGGTGAGACCCAGAGGGGAGCAGGGCTCGGGTGTGGGCACTGGGGGATAGGCCATGGAAGTCGGGGCACCCCTGAGGGGCCCTGGACACCTCTAGGGAGGAGGCCCTGGAGTCTGCAGATAAGGAGCAAGCGGGCGGGGCTTGACACTGGGGGTCCCAGGGAGCGAGGTCTGGAACAGCCAGTCACATCTGGGCCTGCGGTGGGAGGGGAGGGTCCCCTTCTGAGGCTCCGTGCCACTGGCTGCTCCCAGAGGCAGTGGACGGTCAAGCCGTGCTCACCTTCCTGAAGTCCGCCACGCTCAGCAGCCCCGTCCCGCCTGCGTCGTAGGCCTTGAACGTGCGCCGCATGGGCCGCCAGCAGTGCACGATCTGGGGCTGGATGCGCAGCAGAGCGGAGTAAAAGGACATCGTCTCCACCCCGGCCTCTTTCTAAAACCGGAAACAGCAGAAGGCTGAGAAGGGAGCCTCGGGATGGAAAGGACCGTGCGGAGCCCAGCGGACGGAGCCCAGCGGACGGAGCCCAGCGGACGGAGCCCAGCGGATGGGAGCAGGGAGCACCCTCCTTGGCCTCACCGCCCGGCCAGCTTGCTCTCATCCTGGACAGGGCCTGCCAGCAGGTCTCGGGACCTCGAGGCCATCACCTCCTCCTCCCTCTGGTCAGGATGAGAAGCTGTGGGCTGCTGGAAACACCATCTTGCTAGACCTCCCGCTACTGTTTGCAGCCCCCAGTTTGCGCTGAGATTTGGATGTGACGTGCTGGGAGGGGACGTCGCACCTTCGCGGTGTCGAAATCATTGCGAGTGATTAGGTGACGTGGGGGCTGTGATTGGCTCCTAGTAGGTTTCCAGGGAGAGGGAGTGAGGCCACCATGGGCAGGTGGACACGGCACTCTGTTCTCGCCCTCGTGGGCCATGTCTCAGGTCTCTGTGAGACCCGCCAGAGGTGTCCAGCTCCTGGGCTCCCAACTGTGAACAGCTCCAACCCCCACGCGGTGGAGGACCACTGGCTGCAGGTACTTCCTGTCGTTAGCAGGGGACGGACAGGGGCCCCTCCCCTCCTCCCTCAGCTGGGAGCGGGGCTGGCCTCCGGCCTGCGTTTCACCGCCTGAGCCTGATTCGGAGGTTCAGGGAGGCCCAGTGAGCCGGGCTCCCACTCCAGCAGACACAGGCCGCGCCGCCACCCAGGGTGCGTGAGGACACGGCCAGGCACAGGTCGGAGCAGTTCCAAGACCGTCTGAGGGGAAAAAGATTTCAATCTGTGTCTTCTAGTAGATTATTGCAACCAAGAGGTTTTTTTTCTTTTTCATTGCAAGGTTGTAGTCAGATGTACTAAGTAGACAGTACCCCACCCCACGGTTATCTTACGTAAGTGCTGTGGCGTTGAAAACGATACTTTAGCACCATCTTGCCCATGTGTATCTGAGTATCACAGAACTCCCCATGGGCCCTCGGAGTTCAGCAGACGCCCCACAGGCCCTCGGAGCCCCGCAGACGCCCCGCGGGCCCTCGGAGCCCAGGACACGCTCCATGGGCCCTCA